CTTCGCAAAACATTGTTTTCCGCGGGTGGAAAGAGAGTTTCGAGATTCGACCGACCAGAAATCCCGGCTCGTCGCCGGAACTTCCGCGTCGATAAATCCGCGATCGACGGGATACGGCGCGAAACGGCGGGTGCAACTGCCGAGGGTAATTCGCGCAGGGTGTTACGGGAGACCTTATGATCTTTTGTCGTGTAAAAATTACGTATCCAACTCGAGAATTTTTTTCTTATTGCAAGTATAAAATACTCTTAAAATTTTTTCTTCTTGCGTGCGCATGACCTACATTTCGTTTAATTTTGTATTTATAGCGTCATTTATATTTATAGCGTCATCTTTTAGCTATTGAATGCACGAATTATTTTTGGCGCAGTTTATTATACAAAAATCCCGATAAAGAAATGAATCGTGCGTTTGGAACATTTACGCTAAACCGTTCGAATTAAATCCGATCGAGAGAACGGAATATGTAATCCGATTTCGATAAAAGGGTTTAGACGCGCGTTTATCGCTTTCGCTCGTTTTTTATCTCGACATTCGCGAAGCCGGCACGCGAGCTGGCATCGCGTCACGTCGCGTCGAATGAGAGAGGATGAGGCACACGAAACACGAGCCCGGCCGTCTCGATTTCCTTCGTAAATCAGGAGAGCTCGGTATATTCTTACGGAGCGGGGGCATCGATATCGGATCCCAGGAGGGACGCAGGCACCGGCGTCTTTCTTTCATCCTCTCCGATTCCCTCTCGGAAAGCGAATTTCTACCGTCCGGATTCACCCTCGAATTAAAAGAGCAGCCATCTCGGCTGCCTTCTCTTTTCCCCTCCCTCTTGCAGACTTCTCTCTTTTCTCGTTCAGTCCTGTTTTAGGGAATGAAGGCGTGAGAAAGAATCGAGGAAGCGAGGAAAACAAATGAAAAAATGTAATAAATGGGAAATAAATTTAGGATGTTGATGCTGCATGAGAAGCTGATAAAAATAATTTAATGAAAAGTTCGATTAAATTATCAATCTATCTGTATGATAATCTGTATGATGAGGCAAAATATTCAAAAGAATAATAAATTTATGATTCTATAAAAAAGAAAAATAAATTATCAGGTCATCTCAGAAGATATTAATTTAATTCTAATTTTAACTGAGAATTTGTATATGGCAATTATTAATCTTAATAACTCAAAACACATACAGTCATTATTTTACTGTTTTGTTCTTCTCGTTTTTTTTATATGCGCGATCGTCGATGTATATAATAAGAAACATTCTTATTATATTTAATATTTCTGCGCACGTTATTTTTATATTCGCGTTGAAATGGCGACGACGTTGTAAAGAAAAGCTGTCCTAATCTCGCTAACGACGTTGGGTGTATGATAATTCAGACCATCCTGCCGCGGATCTTACGACAAAGTTCTAACCGGTGCTCTTAAAATATGCAAGAGAAGGAGAGAGAAAGAAAGGGAGAGCGACGGGATCCGCGCGTCGAAACAACCCTCGAGATAATTTAGATTCGTAAAACGGAGCGAAGCAACGCAGAGAGAAGAGAGCGAGTGGTGTGGCAGGACGCCGACGGTGTGTATTGATCTAAACGGGAACCCGTGAAAGCAATTAAGATAAGGCACGGTAACAAAGGGTTGTCGGCTGCTACCCGCTTTTCGCGGTGGAAAACAGCGCGGCGGCAGTGGATAGGGAAAGGGGGAAATAAATGTAGCAGATACACGAGAGAGGAAAATGCAGGTCGATTCGCTGTGGATGTTAAAAAGCGATCGAGAAAAGCATTGGATAGAGAAAAGAGGACAGTGGACACGAGAGCTACTCATCATATGTTTAATCTACAAAATTATTATATTTCGCTCGCGATTGCCTGTTCAATAATATTAATATTCATGTCGGATTGTAATTTTCTTAGCCGCCCATGGTCGTTTCGCGGCCGACGCGAATTAATCGAGCGATTAGCTCGCTCTTCAACGGATCGTCGTATTAATTTAGTTCTCACTTGTGTGCAAACGATCCTCGAGAACGACGTTACGTTACGTCGACGATCTGGCAGGCAATACGAATTTATATACTGGGTGTTCCATACAAAACCTCACGTCGTGTCAATCGAGGGAGAGAGGGGGTGAGAAAGCAAGAAAGATAGAGACGGAGCAACAACGCGAGAGTGAGAACAGACCGCTCAGGCAGACCGTCTGAGTCGTAAAATGTTAACTGCTAGTAAAACTGAGTTTACGCGCTTGTAAGGACCCCCGTAGGAGGTTGCCGTCGTCCCTGGCCCCTCTTCAGCACGGCAGCACGCAGAGCCGCCCCTTACACCCCCTAATAGCCAGATTATTGCTCGTAAGCCAGCCACCCCCGCTCGAACCCCCCGCCAACATTCGTTCTCTTCGCAAATACGAAAATAATTCCGAAAGAACGTTTAATTCGCTCGCTTCCTTATAGTATACTTCGCTAGATGTGTACACGCATCGTTTGGTATTTCACGCCGCGATAAATACTGTCGCAAAATTTACATCACGCATAAGTTTCCAATATTCTCATATTTATACACGTATATATACTGTTAATTTATTATAAATAATTTCTATAGTGAAACTTTACGATATTCGATCGAATTAAATATAATTTATAAATTTCTTGTTAAAGCTATTAATATAAGACAATTTATTATTGGTAGTTATTAAAATAGATAGAAAAAAGCATATAATGTAATTTAACGAAAATAAAATCATCTATTATTTATTCTTACGAATAAATTATGATAAATGATTTTATTATTATATTAATATACAAGAATATGTCCGTCAAAATACGTTTTATGGAATTTAATATTGATTGCAATCCTTTCTTTAAAATATCTTTTCTTCTCTTTTTAAAAATTATAAAATGCAATATAGAATTGAGGGCCATTATAGCGGACGCTAAAACCGAGAGGATTAAAAATAGAATAATCTTTTCGTAGATAAGAAAGAAGATAAACATTTATGTCCACTCTGAAACGGGTGCTCGTATCGGTGGTCGAAATTGCTCGACCTTTTAACTTTCAATGGTGCAAGTTCTTTCGCATCGCCGTAAACCGACCTTTTATTCCGCCGTCTTCGGCGCACGATGCCGATCCGGAGGTTTTTCATTTTTAATTACCCACAGTGCTGTGAAAAGTTACCGGCGCTGCACGAAAGTTTTAATGGCAGCGCGTTGACTGTCGTTAACCCCTTCTTAAGTCGACCGTGGAAGTGCCGTGGAACGTGCTACGATTTCGAAACTTATTTGATTTCATTCTCGGAGCTCTCTCTCTCGTTCAACCTGACCGTACACATTTCTCCATCGTAACTCAATTTTTAACGTCATCTCCTATTCGAAACGCCGCCGATCGGCATTCGTTCAATTCGGAAACTATGGAAACCCGATTTTGATTTCCCAGGACAGTAAATTTTTTTTTCAGTGAAAAATATTTTTAGTAAATTTTGCCGATAGTTTCGATAGCTTTCTAAAAAAGAATACTTATGCGTCTCGCGATGATAAATTAGCTAATGACTAAGTTGTTGAGAGAAGGGACGCCTTGTTTGAAGAAATGTCGCCTCATTGTTCAAAGCGCCTGTTCCAAAGAATCTCTCCCTAGAGTCTTGCCGAAGAGACGGAATTCTAGCCCCCCCCCCCGTTTCTACTTGCGTAATTGTTACACTTCGTATAAATGCATTAGCCCCGCGCATTCGTTTCACGCCTCCGCGAATCCACGAGAAGTCTCGTTCGTTTCCCCCCTTTTTTCGCATCCCCGGGGACTTTTTTCACGAACCGTGGCGAAAAGTGGCGGAGGCGAGAAAAGTTTCGAGCGAATTCAAGTAGCGACTTGGGCAAACTGAGAACATGCGAGTTCATTTATATAAAACCACACCTGAGAAATACGATAACTCGCTAAAGTTATCATGCGAGTTTTCGCACACATTCATAAGAAGTTTATAATGTGTGATAAAATATTTATAATACATACGTAAATCAACAATAAGCTAAAAAAATGTTTGCGAAATTAGTTTTCATGTTCAAATAGTTGCCAATAAATTTTGTTAAAATTCTGACATATTTTTTTTATACACATACGTAAAATTCTTATATTTTTACGATTATAAATGTATTTTTTATTCTAATCGTGACGTTATCAAATCATCGTCAGCAAATCTCTCAACAAGTTTTACGTCGATTCGTAATCTTGCTACATAAAGTTTTATTATGCGTGATTCGCGTGGAAAACCTAATGAAAACCTCTCTGACGAAGAAATTTCTCGCTTGACGCTTTCTTAAAGAAGCTGAGAGCTCTATTCCGCTTCGTCTCGCTCCTCTGTATGCATGCCAGCGTTTGCGTTGGGAGAGGGTGCTAACTGTCGAAGACGACGGGGCTGCGTCTTTGGCAGGAAGCCTCGCGCGAGGGTGGCGGAAAAGCTGGCGTGTACGAACGACGGTAGTATAGAAGGTCCCTTGCTCTGCGGTTTTATGGGTCGTCCAGCTCCATCATGCGTCGTAAAAGTACAATAAAACCGCTGTTACACCGCGGAAAACTATCCGTTCTAAACCACTGCATGCACCGGGCCCTTAAGACAAAGAGGAGAAGAGGAGACGGCGGAGAGACGGTTGGAGAGACGGCCAAAGCAAAATTGATTCTTTTATGATCGACAAACGCACGATTCTGAAAGTTGGGGTCGCTGCGCGAACAATCTCTTAGATTTCCACGAGAATATGTTCACGTGTAATAATCCGATGTCTCTCTTTTCCCGACGTTGTTTCGAATCGAATCAATCGTTTCCGAAAACTTTAGAAATATGAAAATTGCGAGTGCGAGAAATAATATATACTTTAACAAAGGGCAACATCACATTTCTGTAATATAATTATTTTTGCAGCAATAAAAAATTAGAGAATATTTTCCTCTATTTCTAACATTATTTCTCTAGAATTATTCTTGTAGATAATTTTTGTATGCAATTTTTTATCTCACATTTGTGTTCTCGTCTATTTTCAGTTTTGTCATTGAGAAATACGCAAGAAGAGGAACCACCAGATCCGCAGCTGATGCGGTTGGACAATATGTTGATTGCCGAGGGGGTCGCTGGACCAGAGAAGGGTGGCGGTGCGGGAGCTGCCGCTTCGGCATCCGCAGCAGCCGCGGCTGGACCACCTGGCCAACCAGACAACGCCATCGAGCATTCGGATTATAGAGCTAAACTCGCCCAGATTAGGCAAATTTATCACCAGGAATTAGAAAAATACGAACAGGTTTGTCTGCAAAAAAAAATATATATATATATATGTGTGTATACGTATACACTTGAAATAAATCGCATAATGAACATTTATTTGTTATTCGCGTTATTCGCGTTTCCGCTAAACTTATATCAATAATCGGTGACAAATGCAAACTGGTTAGCTGACCGACTCATTAAGTCAAACGGGTTAAAGTTTAACTCTCGTATTGATTTTCGCAGCGCGCGACGCCGCAGTCACACATTTTTCCGTTTGCGCGCGCTACATCGCGAAATATCCCCTTCTCCCGCGAAAATTATTCATTCCGAGGAAAGCGCGAGCGCGTTCGCTCTTTATGCAAATCCCGCTTATGAATATTATTCGCGGCCCGCGCGCCATTATCGGCGCGATATCGGGTATTGAATTCGGGTCGTGGGAATTACATTCGCGTCGTTTTATCCATCGTCCGACTTGGCGAGCGCGAGAAAAGAGGAAGAGAGAGGAAAAAAAAACCGGAAAGGACGCAAAATGAACTCGCAGCGCATAAACGAGCGCCGTTACTCACTCTCGACCGGAAAAACTCCCGGCGAAATGAAAAATTTAAACGCGTAGCCGCGCGGTTATCGTCGAGATCCGGCGGCTGACAAATTTCGGCCATCCCGGCCCGCTATCAGCCGACTCGATTCCCCGCCATCGATAATCTCTCCGCTCGTGAAATTCGACGACGTCGACGCGAATTTATCGTTCACCGACGATCTCGCGGTCTCGCCAAGGTACGTTTATGTTATGCGAAGTATCGAAGAAGCGAGAATCAATCGATTCTCATTGTAATATGCTATTAAACTGTTAATGATACACGTTGTAATTCTAAATGATGTTTTTTTCTGTGATATATACACATTTTTTTATAAGCTTTTATCAAAAAACATTGATAATCTTTTTGTGGCAAATTGTATATTTTTTAGGATTTATATTCTCTTTTAAATATAATCAATGTACATTAATTGTGTACATTCAATAATCACTGATAAACAGTAGTTTTGGTTACAAATATAGTATTGTAAACAATGAAATTTTATTGATTGTGAGAAGAATTAATAGTGGCTAATTTTTCACTAATCGCAAAATCAGTAAAATACTCGGTAAAATCTTGTCATTATTTTAATGACACTTTTACATTGATTCAGTTTAAAAGAGTTACTAACAAAAATTAATAATTTTCTATTTTTTAATAAAATTTTTTGATACATAAGCTTAGATCAATTTGCAATCTTTGATTAATTTTGCGATCGTTTCGAAATGAACTAATAAGAAGGGATATTGTGCGTGCGATTGGGAGGAATAACCACCACCGGCAATTCGCGTGCTAATGAACCGACCCGATCGCGCTAAGTAAAATCTCGCGTGCCGGACAGGCCAGCCCCCTTGTGTACCGCTGTATGTCGCGTGATACAGGTCCTTTCAAAACGATGCAAATCACTGCGCCAGACCATTACCACTGCGGAAATTCGACATAAATTATCGCGAGCTGTTTCATTAAGAATTTCTTTCCCGGCCGCTCTTCGTTTTTAATTCCCTGCCCTGACCTCGTGTTATAAAATTCGACCTGCTGTAATAACTCAATTTTATAAGGGCAATTTTTGGAGTATTCGAGATAAAATATCGAAATAAAGAACAAAGAATTTTTAATTAATCGCGCTAAACGATATTAAGATAAACGATTAAACATTAGTTTAATAATCCAAGCTTTATACAAACGCGAATATTAATAATCGCAGTTTTTTCCTCAATTATATTAGATATGTAGTTCTCCAAGTAATATATGTAACGATATAGTACTTTGACTAGTTATTTCGCGCTATCAGTCACATTCGCATCCTCTTTTCACCGCGGGACAGATCACCGGTCATTCCGCTTAATGTACGCGCCGCTACCATAAAAAAAGCTCTTACATTCGCATGACGTCGTGCGTAATCGGCCATTCTTACTGTAAATAGGGCCCACTCATATCGGCCCTATATGCGCGCATAATTCTTTTTAACGCCGTTTGCGTTTTCGCCGGCAATTTTTCCCTCTTCCGCGTATATATACACACTTACTCGCTGCGAATATACGCGACGCGTATGTATGTAGACGAACGTAGTGTGTGGGCCGTGTGCTTTAATTGCCACACCCGTTTCGACCCCATATTTTACCGTGTGTGTCAGCGGGCTTGATGTTTCCCCGCGGTAAACACGCACAGCCCCACCGAAGGTCCACCGTTCTCTCTCGTCAGGGTCGGATTAAAATCAGAGCGCGCTAATATTTTCGTATGAGAAATTTTATTTTGATGTAACATTTTATATATATATATATATATATATACCAGTAGAGAGAGAATAATGTCATGCGTGCTCTTTTATTCTTCCAACCAAGCTGGAAGCGGAGTTAACGCGTATAGTATTACCTCTTTTTACGAGCTAAAGCTGATAAGAGCGCTTTTACAACCGTTCGTCCTGCCGTTTGTTCGCAGTCTACGGTTGCGGCAAAATGGTGTCTGTGTTAATGCGGAAATTAAAGATTATATTCTTGGAAAACGGCAATTACCTGTTTGCGCCGCCATTAATGTTAATCACAAATGATAATTCGCGACCGTCATCGCAGAGATGCCCTGGATCCGCCCCTGTAATGCGTGCGCCACGACTCTTTGTAGCCGCAACAATATGCACGCTGAAAACATATGCGCTCGCGTGCACTTTGCGACGCAACTCGTGCGTGTTGCTGAGGGGTGGTCTGCCGATAAACGTGGCCGTTAACGAGTTTTAAATCTTCCTTTCTTCTGTTCTCCGGCAAGGAATCTTGTTTTTTTTTTGCTCCACATTCTTTTCTGTTATAATTCTTCTTTGATTTTAAATAGATCTTAACAAAATTGCAATTTGCGATTTATCAACACGCTCAAATCAAAAAAATTGTAATGATTTTTCATTAAAAATATTCTGTATAATTCTGTATAATAATAAAAAAAGAGACAATATCGGGGGAAAAAATTTGTGCCGTAGAGAACAGATGGTATAAATATTTCATCATATTTGAAAAGTTATTGGCTTAGTTAGCGGCCGACGTTGTCATGGCAGAAAGTTCGGCCATAAGCGAAATTTACTATTCAAATTCGGTCGACTCGCCGCATTAGGGTGAATGTCTGCCTGACTATGCAACATGGCGTGACAAGCACGAGAATAGAACCGCATCGGGTTTTACGAGATCGCGTGATCACCGCCAGCAAACATCCTACCTACCATGAATTTCATCGGTGCACGCCCGCCTTTATTTTATCCGATTTTCAACTCTGATTCCCACCGACCCTCCCACACTATCTCGTATTGTATCTCAGAAAAAGCGTACAGAAAATGCATCTTCCGGTGTGCTCGCGAGAGGGTGGAAAAGAGATTTTACGCGCGCATAAATATTTTGTTTTACTGCCGTACGTTCGACTGGTATAATCCACCGTAAATCGTATCAAGTATGATGTTAAGCAGAGTATAAACATCTTGCGCGTTTTCTAAATTATTACCATAATTCGGGATGAAATGCTACCGACACTGTAATTTACAGTCGGCGAGATGAAACAAACGCGTTTGGGATAATAAATGTAAAATATTCATGTAATCGTTTGTTTCTATATTTTTTTACATTTTTAGTAAATAAATTACATATCGTGTGTCTCGTTTTATTTATTCTTACGAGAATAAGAGGAAGATGTGTAGGTGAATATTTTAACAAAAAATCTAAACGTCCGTACTTTGGCTTCCGACGAGGCAAATTTTCTCGCAACGCTCTAATTTTACTGCAACACGCTCTATTAATACGGTCGCGTTTTGCGAGAATATAGTGGAGGCGGGCATGGCCGGTTTCGGCAACGTTATGGAAATTCCAACGTGTGCATTGCTAAATATATCTGCCCGACACCGACGGTCGCGCGGCTGCGTTTCTGCGGTTGGAGAAACAACTCGCGGAGAGCCTCGACAGTTGCATAATCGAATTTATGCTTGCGGTTGATTCGTATCGGAGAGAACAGCATGGATCCTAATTTTATAACTCGATATCCCAAGTCTCTTTCTCTCTTTCTCTCTAGACTGAATCAACGTCATCTCGCAATTCGAAAGTAGAAAGAGATATTGCACGGAATGTCTCCGAGAAATATGTAGATGAAAGAAGCACCGACAATTTTGGGATATATCTTTGAAATAATCGAAAATGCGATGATTAATATTGTCGATTGTATTTTCTGTATCAAAATGTATCGGATGGTCATCAGCTAGTATCATCAACTTTGAGACGTAGAGCATTTTAGAAATTAAAGGAAATCAGTCTGCGCGAAGGAGGTAGGGGGGGAATGCGACTCGCTACGGCTTTTCCATCCAATTCAGCGTTCCGTTCGTTCACGAGTCTCGTGCGAAGAAAGGAACGAAGAGGAAGAGAAGCCATCGGTGGATCGAGAAAGGAGGACGAAGGGAGAGAGGGGTGGGATCGTCGGCGGAGTGGAATCCATTTCGAAATTGCAAGCCACCCTGTTCGATCCCCTTTCTCCACTGACTCCTCTCGTATCCCGACACCCTCCCGTGGCCTTTTCCCGGTTCCTTCCCTCAGGAAAAGCTACTCCCCCTCTGCTCGGCTCACCCTCTCGTCTCACTTTCTCTCTCTTTCTCTCATTCTCTGGTTCTCTCCCTTTTGCGAGGCAGCGTGCTCGCCTCGAATACTGATATCGAGCAAAGTCCTTTTTCCCTTAAACCGAGCAGCCACCAGGAATAATGCATTATACGTACGCGTCCTTCGTCTCTCACTTCTTCCCTCGCTTCGTCGCTCGATCTTTCCTTTCACGCTCTGGTCACAGTACTTTTTTTCGCATCTTTTGCTCATTTTAATCCTTTGCCTGTCGTCATGCCGACGAATTCGCAGTATATTCAAATTTATCTCGAAACAGTTCCATATTTTTAATTGATTATATTTTACAAAGAATATCTCAAATTCTCCTTTTACACAATTAACGGAAAGTAAACTTGGAACGCTCTGTCTTTGTTTCAGGCTTGTAACGAATTCACCACCCACGTAATGAACCTGTTGAGGGAGCAGAGTCGCACTAGGCCGATCACGCCGAAGGAAATCGAAAGGATGGTTCAAATTATTCACAAGAAGTTCTCCAGCATTCAGATGCAGCTCAAACAGTCCACCTGCGAAGCCGTAATGATTCTGAGGAGTCGATTCTTGGACGCCAGGTTTGTATCGAAACAATAAGAGATGTATGAAATTTTTGCGGTTTTTTTTTGACAGCAATCGCGTTATGTCATTTTGGAAAACAAGAAAGGAGATGGGGGAAAGGGGGAAGTGGGGAAATTTATCGATATACGGAGACTATTTACACAGCGCAATTAAAGTAAGATATAATACGCGCGTGTGTAATTTGTGTTACAGACGTAAGAGAAGAAATTTCAGTAAACAGGCGTCTGAAATTCTAAACGAATACTTCTACTCCCATCTCAGTAATCCCTACCCAAGCGAAGAGGCTAAGGAGGAGCTTGCACGAAAATGTGGAATTACCGTGAGCCAGGTATCGTCCGTTCCCTTTTCTTGCACTTACTAGAGCTTTTGTAATTTGCCGTATACTGCGTCGCTATTTGTGTTTTTTTATATTCTTAAAGTAATTTCAAAATTAAATTTTGTTCTTTAAAAGAGAGGGAAAAATAACGTCTTGTGTTGAATAAAATATTTATAAATTCTTTGACGAGAAAGAGACTCAAATATATCGCGAGCGGGCGTTTACACGTGAAAACTTCTAGGCAAATCGGTAATGAATGCGTATCTTCGTTTGCTCTTAGGTGTCCAATTGGTTCGGAAATAAGAGGATACGCTATAAGAAAAACATCGGTAAAGCGCAGGAGGAGGCAAACTTGTACGCAGCCAAGAAGGCAGCTGGTAAGTCCCGATTTTCGCTAAGCGAGTGTTTTTCTATGAGTTTGTTTCATTTAAATTATGAGAAAAAGTCCGTAAGAAATCCTGTAAAAAAAACTGCACGAAATGGCCTCTTAAAATATTGAAATCCGAATGTCTCCATGATCGAAAAGTAATATTTTACATTATTGACGAAAAACAAAAATAATAGAAATACGCGAATGGCGATTCATAAAATGTTTTACGAAATGTTTTACGTTGCTATTTACATCTTTTCGATTTCTGAATGCTCTCTCGTGCTTATTGCTCCTTTGGTCGAGCCTTGTCGAGGAAAAACACAGTGAAGTAAAAGTCGGAAGATATAAATTGAAATAATTAATAGATAAATCGTACCCACATACTTCTCTCGTCTTTTTCACGCGTTAGACTTGGAACCAAGATGGAGGAAGTCTCATCACTGTAAATCATTAGGTGAGTTATAGCTTATTGTTCGGCGCGGCAGTGACGTTATTATTGCGGTCGTTGATGAATCATCGACGGAAAATAAATCTAGCGATATTGATGTGTTCTTTGGCATGTAATACTTATATATTTAAAATATCTTTGAATATCTTTGAAACGGAATCTACCTCTCTAGCGGGTTATGAAATTATCTCGAATCGTAATAATATAGATAAAGTTGACGCAGCATGTTCACTATGTGTTCTTTGTATCTTTCAAAAAATTCAAGTTTTTAAAAATGCCAGACGGCAGCAGCAGACGGAGCGTAGATAAGACTACAAGAAATTTTCTCATTACATCCTCCGCTGAGATAGACGCACTCACGTCTCACGTTCTCGCTCGCTACCTACTTTCATCTCCCACTTCCAGCCTCGGAGAGGCGACCTCCTCTCTTGCCATCGTGAAAATTGTAGAAAAAATTCCCGGTCCCACTTTGAAATTCCACGGATTCGCGTCACCCACCCTGGTCGTCGCAATTACGCACGCTTCGCCTAACTACCGAGGCATCTCACTTTATTTTGGAGACGCCGGCGTGAGATATTTTTAACTCACCAATTATACGAGATAGGAGGGAAAGGGGGGGGGGGGAAACAAACGGGGG